CCCACAGGGCTGGAAGGCATGAACACACTGGGAGACAATGGTAATCTGGCAGAGGGCTGGTGAAAACACATGGTATATATACACAGGTGAAGGTGATTACAAATCAGTCACAGGTGAGTGATCAAAAGGTGGGAAAAGAACAAAGACAGGAAGTAAAACTAGACATCAACCAAAAACAACAGGATTTCAAAATAAAAACAGGAAATTAACACAAACACACTAACAGCTAAAGAGAACATTACAGACCGTTGTTTTTAGAGGTTAAGTTGTTAAGCCTCCTGGGCAATGATGAAAGGACAGCATTATAGGTGGGGGATAGGGGGTGTCGCAGACCTCCTCCTCTATTGAGAGATGGCTTTTCCAATTTCACATAGACGGCTTCTTTTACACCTCTTTCAAACCATCGGTCTTCCCTTCACCATGTGCACATTGCTGTCTTCGAAGGAGTGTCCTTTCTCCTTGAGGTGTAGATAGACAGCTGAGTCTTGCCCTGATGAGTTAGCCCTTCTATGTTGGGCCATGCGTTTGTTTAGTGGTTGTTTTGTTTCACCAATGTCCAAGTCTGGGCATTCCTCACTGCATTGGACAGTGTACACTAGGTTGTTCTTCTGAGTGTGTGGTGTACGGTCTTTTGGGTGTACCAGTTCTTTGTGAAGAATAGTTTGCCCTTCTTGGATTGTGACGTGCACATTACAGAGGACAGAGGCCTCCACATTGGGGTGTACAGGAAACCCACTCACACAGACCAATACTTACTGTTCGATTCTCACCACCCACTGGAACACAAACTAGGTGTTATCAGGACCCTACAACACAGAGCTGATAACGTACCTACCAGCACTCACGCCCAAGGGAAAGAGCATGAACATCTGAGGGAGGCTCTAAAAACTTGTGGTTACCCCAGTTGGACCTTTGTGAAATCAGCAGCCTGTTCCAGAAAGAACAAGGTGGGTGAGGAAGAAAAGAACAAGCGCAATAACATTGTCATCCCCTATGTGTCTGGGGTATCTGAAAAACTCAGGAGGATATTCAGCAAACATCACATCCCTGTGTATTTCAAACCCAGTAACACACTCAGACAAAGAACTGGTACACCCAAAAGACCGTACACCACACACTCAGAAGAACAACCTAGTGTACACTGTACAATGCAGTGAGGAATGCCCAGACTTGAACATTGGTGAAACAAAACAACCACTAAACAAACGCATGGCCCAACATAGAAGGGCTAACTCGTCAGGGCAAGACTCAGCTGTCTATCTACACCTCAAGGAGAAAGGACACTCCTTCGAAGACAGCAATGTGCACATTTTGGACAGCATGCAGTTGATGAACTCCTCAGCCTTATCGAAATCATTTTGTTAGCTTTTCTAGTCTGGGAAAAATGAATACTAATGTTAAGACTAGAGTAAATTATAAATTAATTGTTAATTGTTAATTGTTCTCTAGCAAGTGACCCTCTTGTCATTCACCTGTCCTTCTCCATTGGCTTCCTCAGCCGTTGATCCAGAGCAGCTGCCTGAATTGCTTAGTACTGCTCGATAAATTTCTCCACAATCAGGAAGAGGGCGTTCCAGCGTGTATTTACGTTCAGAATTACATTATGCTCTGGCAACTCTTAAACACAAATAGACATTTTCAATTACAATAAACAATTGCTGGCATTATAAACAATACTTTTTGAGATAAGTTATTACATCTATGCTACTCACTGAGGATTCGCTGCTTCTCTCAGAGTACAGTTTTGCTTAGGGTAGACCGCTTGAGCCATACCACAACAACACGGATCTTGGCACACCATTTTGACACTGCAGGGATCTCATACGCCTTCTGTATTGCTAGATTTAGTGTGTGGGCGAAGCACTCCACTTTTAAGAAATTCAGATTTTTTTTTAGAGCAACATCCATGTTGCTGGCATTGTCCACTGTGGCAGCAATTATTTTTCAACTCAAGTTGAATTCCTCCACAACACTGGCTATCTCCTTGGCCACTACTGGTCCTGTCTGGGACTGATAGACTGCTTCAGTGCTCAGCACCTTCTGTTCTACTCTGCCTCTGAAGATATAGTGGACAGTCACAGTGAGATAGTGGTCTTGTGCCAAACCGGTCCATCCATCACAGGCGATGGCTACCTTGTTGACCTGCCCCAACTTCTGAATGATATTGCTCTTCTCCACAGAATACCATGCAGGAATAAGTATATTGGAGAGGCCATCTCTGGATGGAGGGTGGTAACGTCTTAGCATGGCAGTTCAGCCTACACAGCAAACACTATTTTTACATAACATGACAACATATTTACCTGAATGATGGTGACTCTATGGAAAATGGGTGAAGGCCCTTCACCGCAAATTTTGTGACCGCTCTATGTACTTCCTCCACCTTTTCTTTGGTCAACTGGGCCTTCTTTGCCAGGGTAAAGGGAGTCACTGCTGTAGCTGGAAAGCCAGGGATACAAAATATAAACATGAAATTGCTATGGACAAACACATTGTCTAGCTCTTGTTTTAAACATTTAACATGATATATAGGTCTAGCCTCTTCAGGTCTTCTCTTAAGGTCAACTCTAGTCCTCTTCAGGTCATTAGTATCTGCACAAGTTGCATGCCATCCCCTCCCTCATTTTCTACTTAAAGCCGCTGGTCGGGTAGATGAAAGCACAAGACCGCTATAATAGGTACCCAGGCCCAGACCTGTCTGATTCTATTAAAAATATAACATATGTTTAATTACGCTGCCTAATGCTGGTGAAATAACTTAAGTTCATCATTATTTTACATTCATATAGGCTACAACTTGAACAACATAAGATGATCAAAATCAGTAATGTAGGCTAGCCCATCAACCAGCCAGTCTGTCACGTTTTGCTTAAATGCATAAACTGTGCCGTCTAAATTTGATGCAAGATCCTAAGTTTAACATTTTGCCCTCAAATCTTCTAACTTTTAAGAAAAAGCTGACACTTGGCAGAAATGTCGAACGTAGCACACCAATTGTTAGCTTGGCGTTGCAACGTTGTTTGCTACCTCAGCGTGAGCGCGTTAGTGTGTTAACTTGCTTGCTTACACAAAGTAGGCTAATTTACCACTGACAACATTAAAATACTTACTTGACGACAAAAGGCTGCTACTGTCATCATCATCAGTGATGTCCACAACACAGGCAGCAGGGCTAGGGCTCTCATCTTTACCGGTGGGGATGCTAGGACTGGCCGCAGATAATGTGCTTGGCGAGGGGGTCTCACAAGCTATCAAAAACAGTGCACTTTTCAACCTTTAGGTATATACCATGCATGGTCAGATGCTTGGTTAAGTTCGACGTATTGCCACCCCTACACATAAAACTCTTGAGACATTTGTGGCAAGTTGCAGAGTCTGCATCTTTTAAAGAAAAGTAAAGCCAAACTTGGGAATGCTTTCCCCCCTTGGGCAGCATCTTGACTGGAAGCTCTTCTTCGTCATCTGTCTCACACTTGCAGTGCATGTTAAAAAACAAAGGTCACGTGCAGTGCCGTGTTACAATTGAACACGCAGGGGGCGCGGCCGCACTGAAATGGGGCACCGAAATATGCGTTGTTATCCGGTCTTATTACTACCGTATACGTCAGCACCAGTACCATAAATATACGGAGTGTCAGCACCCATCCCTAGTTATTAGTATATTGGTCTGTTAAGAGTTTAATTTGTTGCTCTAAGGTGTTTACCAGTTCCAGTTCTGTTTTTTCTTGTGTGCTGAATATGCTTTTACCCCTTAATACTGCTTTACCTGTTTCCCATAACAATGAGTCGTTCATCTCCAGGAAGGATGCCCACTCTCTTTGGATCATGGAGTTAAAATCGGAATCTTCTCAGAGTGATGTATTAAAATGTCATCTTGTAGGAGGTTTGAACTGAAATAAATTCTGGAATGAGACTGATGGAGGGAGGAGAAATATGAATATTCTTTCAATGATGGGTTTCTCAAAGAGATGTCGGCAGAATGATCAGACTGCACATAGAAAAGGCTGGTGAAAACAGAATATGAAGGACATGAACAACAACATAAACAAACACGAGATGAACAAAGGCAGGGAGGAACACTGGTAAGTGCATTACTGGGTATTACACAGTTTCCTCATGCAAAGGAATATTAGTCATAGGAGGTTGAAATATTATATTAATTCAGTTAATCATTGGTTAATGTCAGTTCATTTATGATACATTTCGATTCATTGCAGTCCGTTCAGTGGAGCCATGGCGTGATTTTTGTGTTTCTGAATAACTGTCCATCTATGTACAGTCTGTCCACTACAAGTGATGCGCGTTTATTATTTTTCCGGTTTTGCTTTAAGATGGGGTGCAGTTTTTTGCGTCGTTCATTGATTTCTTGTGGGTATTGATCGTTTAGTCAGAATGTGGTTCCTTTGAGTTCCTCTCCTTTGCTTTTGACCACTTCTTTTTGCTGGAAGTGCTCGAATTTGGCTATGATGGGTCTGGGTCTGTTGTCTGATCGTTTTCCAAGGCGGTGAACTCTGTGGAATGTGATGTTTTGGACGGTGTCGGGTGGTAGTTTCAGTTTTTTAGCAGTGATTCTGGATTGTCGGGTGATTTTTCCGGGATGCCTGCGAAGATGAGATTGTCACGCATGGAACGGGTTTGTAAGTCCAGAATGGTTTCTTTCATCAGTTTGTTCCCTTTTGTGACAGCGTGCATTTGCTTGGTGAGTGATTTAACGGAGGTCTGTAAGTCCTGGTTTGTTTTTTGAAGTGATATGATGTTGTGAGCAAATTCCAGGCTATTGTGTATGTCGTTAATATCCGTGTGTAGTAAAAATTGCAGGACAAGTCTTTTATTAATGCTGTCCAAGAGACTAACCTCAGTTTCGGAGTTTGGAAGACCGGTGGTGTCTGTTGAGGAGTCCTTCTTTTTTCTTTTCAGAGGGTTTGGTGTGTCCAGTAGGTCCGTGGTGTTTTGCTGGTTGTAGTAGTAGTAAATGAAAGCTTCCAAGTCTGTTACGGTCTCCACTGTGAGGTTCATCTAATTCGGGTTGATAGTATGTGATAGACTGTGGATGCAATCTGGTCCGGGATGTAGACACAAGTCTTGAGATGAACTTTGTTTGATTTCACTGTGATGTGTTTCTCAGCTGAAACTGTCACTCACCACTGTCATATGCCTGACTGACCTAATTCATATTTTGTACCACATCCTTTTTCCATGAGAGGGCGCTGGAGAACGCATCAATAATATGTCATGTTTTTGTACATCAAATATAGACCACACCATGTAAATTTCAGGTAAATCAACAGATGAGTGTCTGAAAAGACTTCCTGTTGCTCATAGGTGGCACTATGTCTGTGACTGAAAATTGTCACATAGACATGTACAGGGTTGGACTATTATCAAACATGTCAAATGTGGTGCAGATTAGACCATTTACTCCGAAGTTGTAGAAATTTCATGTCTCATGGCGAGACATTTAAACCTGATGCTATGCCACAGCCACACCATTAAATGCTGACCCTGGAGAATGCATTGATGATATGTCATGATTTTGTACATCAAATAGACAACATGTAAATTTCACATAAATCAAAAGATAAATATCTCAAAAGACATACTTCCTGTTGCCAGTAGGTGGCACTATGCGAAATACAGAATATTTTCATATAGATGTGTTCAAGGCGGGACTGTCATCCATCCTGTGAAGTTTGGGGAAGATTGGACCATGTATGCTGGAGTTACAAACCACTTCCTGTTTATGGCGACACATGGAAGTTTAAGGCCTTGCCATGGTCACACGGTTTGATGAAAACTCAAGCCTGTATTAAGTTTTTTTTCTTCAAGGTCTTTCAGTGGGACAGACCAACATTTGAAGTTGATCAGATCAAATCTCTAGGACAAGTTTGTTAATTTACGAGCCCTGGAAGTGGGCAAAAATGCACAAAAGTGCCTACCAAGTTTCATATATGCAGGTGAAGCCAGCTATAGGGGCTGTTTCGTTGAAATTTTGTAGGGGGTGCTTTTGAGCCATCTTGATACATCAAAGCACAAAAATCATATCAGACAGCAGAATTTGGGACCTCTGATGTGTGTGCCACATTTCATGAGTTTTCAAGCATGCCTTGCTCCTTAAAAACAACTTCCTGTTTTATGGCAAATAAGGCATTGCCACAGTGACAGCATTCGACAAAAACTCAAGAGCTTCATTTTTAAGTATCATCAAGGTCTTATGACTTTTTATCAGCAAATTTGAGGTTGGTCTGATTAACCTGCTAAAAGAGGGACATCAAAGAATGAAAATAGTAATTTTCTGTTGCCAGTAGGTGGCACTATGACGGTGACTCAAAACTCCTCTGTAGAGTTTTTCAGGGTGGGACTGTCATCATATGTGTGAAGTTTTGGAAAGATATGCCCACATGGAGTGAAGTTATAGCAACTTTTGTCATCATGGCGAAACATCGAAATTCGCCGCCAGGCCATGGCCAAACCCTTTGACGAAAATTCACAGTTTTCCCAATAAAGCATCATCAAGGTCTTATGGCTTTTTCTGACCAAGTTTGACGTATATCAGGTCAACTTTGTAGGAGGTGTACATCAAAGTATAAAACATGACATTTTCTGTTACCAGAAGGTGGAGCTATAACTATCACTAAAGACTGACATGCAGATGTGTTCAAGGTGGGACTGCCATCAATCCTGTGACGTTTGGGGAAGATTGGACCAAGTATGCTGGACTTATAAACTACTTCCTGTTTTGTGGGGAGATGCCTAAGTTTGCCGCCTTGCCACGGTCACATGGTTTGGTGAAAACTCAAGCCTGTAATAACTTTTCTTCTTCAAGGTCTTCCGGTGGGACAGACCAAGGTTTGAAGTCGGTCGGATAAAATCTCTAGGACTAGTTGTTAATTTACGACCCCTGGAAATGGCTACAAATGCACCAAAACTGCACAGTAAATTCAAAATGGCTGACTTCCTGTTGGGTTTAAAGCATGGGCCCAAGAGGCTTTTTTGGTACATCCTCGATTGTTACATGTGCCTACCAAGTTCCGTACATGTAGATGAAAGCAACTTTGGGGGCTGTTTTGTTGAAATTTTGTAGGGGGCGCAACTGGGCCTTTGCCAGGGCCTTAATTAGAATAATATTGGTGCAAGGCAGCTTCCTTGTGCAACCCCAAAACAGAAGTTGTGTTTCTCAGACACATGATCTCCAAGACTGACGTAAAACTTCCTTTCTTTAACACTAGAACCGCCACGACGGTCTGACAGACTGTTTGGGTTTTTATAATGCAAATAACTCTGTTTAGATAAAACCTACAAGGTTCTCTTCCTATGACTTTTCCTAAAAATGTGTCTTGTATGTTTTCTGAAGCCTTTAAGTTACAAAAATGAAGCACACTAGACTTCTGAGCATTTATACCTCAAAATTATACATTTTGATACATACAGGTGGGCTATACATATTTCAAAACTCTGTAAAAGTACACCAAAGCATACATTTTCGTTTCCAAATATTTATTTGAAAAAAAAACCCATTAATACGGTCAATATAAAAACACATGTTAATAATAAAAAAAACCCCGAATGTAATCTCATTCTGCTTCCGGCTTTCTTACAGTGCAGACGCTCTGCTGCTTGCGCTCCGCTTTGCTTACATTCTTTTGTGGATATGCTTGTTTTTTTCTGCTAAAAGCTACAGAAAGTAGATCCTGGATACTTATAAAGCATTGGGACTTTAATTTGTGAAAAATACAGAGGACTACTGCCATTTTTCACCACTTTAGTACAGAGTGTGAGCGACTAACTGAGACGATAAGGCAGCTTCAAATGAAGAATGAAACACTACAGCAAATTCGTGAGAGTGAACAATTAATTGACTCTGTAGCAGCTAACATAAAAGGGGCTGATGGACAGACTAGTGTATATGGAAATACAACAAATGTGGAGCATACCATTGCTGACTTGGCTGACACAATCCCATGGATATGTCCTAACACCACTGGATCAGCTGCAGAGGCTCCCAAACTGGCCTTTCCTAACGACCCTTCCTACTGGCACAGGACTGGTGCTCGACCAAAAGCATCAACTCCAGCCAGGACTTGGTCTGATGTCACTAGACGCAAAGGCAAATCCAGCAGGAAATCAGTCAAGAGAGCCCCAACGCTCAC